CAAAATGATCTTCCAGAGGTGGGGAACTCCCCAAGTGGACCTGTTTGCTACCATGCAGAACTGGAAGAGTCAATGGTTCTGCTCCCTTCAAGGGCTCAACAGTGGATTGCTTTCCAATGCTTTTCTTCTGTCTTGGACAGGCAACCTGATGTATGCCTTCCTGCCGAGCCCACTCATCAGCAGGGCCCTCCTAAAGATCAAGAGGGACAAGGCCAGGGTCATCATGATCGCCCCAGCATGGCCTCATCAACATTGGTTTGGCATGCTCATGGAATTGGCAACAGCACCCGCATGAACACTTCCCAAACGTACAGACCTGCTCTCTCAAGATCCCAGGAGGTTGCTGCACCTGAACCTTGCCTCTCTCTACCTCACAGCATGGCTGCAGCGTGGCTGAATCTGGAGGAGCAGACCTGCTCTAGTTAAGTCCAGCGAGTTCTGTTGGAGAGTAGAAAGCCCTCGATTAGAGCGACTTACTGGTGAAGTGGAAGTGCTTCTCTTGCTCGGCTTTGGAGCAGAAGATCTCTCCGACCCAGTCTTCTCTGCAGTCCATTCTGGACTACCTGCTTCACTCGAAACATCAGGGTTTCACCTTCTCTTTGATCAAGGTGCACCTAGTGGCCATATTAGCCTTCCATTCCCACGTCCAGGGCAGATCAGCATTCTCCTATGAGATGATGATCAGGTTAGTGAAAGGCCTTGAGAGACTTTTTCTGCCAGTCTGGGACCCAGTGCCCCAATGGGACCTCAACCTAGTCCTCTCTAGGCTCACTGGCTCTCCCTTTGAGCCTTGAGCCTCTTTCACATCTGTCATAAAAGGTTACTTTCCTTGTGGCTATCATTTCAGTGAAGCGAGTCTCCAAGATTAAAGCCCTTATGTCGGAGCCCCCATACCTGGTGTTCTACAAGGATATGGTTCAGTTGCATCCCCATCCTGCTTTCCTGCCAAAGATGGTGTCATCTTTTCATGTTAACCAGGACATTTTCCTCCCAGTCTTCTGCCCGAAGCCTCGTGTCCAACGAGGACAGGCATCTGCACACCCTAGATGTCAGGCAGGCTTTGGCTTTCTACTTAGAGCGTACTAAGCCCTTTCATAGATCAGCTCAACTCTTCATCACGGTGGCTGATAGGATGAAAGGCCTTCCAGTGTCTTCTCAAAGGCTTTCATCTTGGATCACCACCTACATGTTGGCATAGGTTGGCACAGGTTGAACCTCCATTGATAGTAATAGCCCAGTCGACCAGAGCTCAGGCGTCACTGGCAGCCTTCCTGGCACAAGTCCCTATCCAGGACATCTGTACTAGCTTGAACATCGCCATGGAGTGCGGAGCGGTGCTAGCTTATTAAACAGGCAGTCAATTTAATGAGATGATGGATGGGGAGAGGATTTGTGGCTGGTGAGAAAACTGGTAGGTGGATTTCAGGAGCAAATCTTTGGATTTCAAGAAAGGGCACAATGAGCTGTGCATTGCCTCCATGAATCCAGTGCTCTGACAGTGCCTTTTTCACCCACCTTCTGACCATGTGAAGTGTCTGTTCTGGACCAGGCTTAAGCCTACTCACTGTGGAGTGTTGGGAACTTGGAAGGGACTACGTGGTGTGCATCTATAGCCTGCATGGGAGTTTGTCTTCATGGACCAAAGACTGTCATTTTGTGGAGGCTGGCTACAAATATTGAATAGCACTCACTGACGCAAAGTAGGAAAGGACAAATCGACACCCGTAACCCTTTTGCTACAGGTCTGTGAGAATGTGGAATGAGGCATGTGGCTGCTATTTAAAAATTATCCCTGAGCTGCTGGAAGTCTTTAAGAGTGAGTGGGGCTTCCCTTACCAGTAGCAGAGCTAATGATGGAATTCACTTGCCCTTTTCGGTCTGCCCACCACAGGAAACATAATTTTGTCAGTTGTAATCCAGAATTAGCCACTGTCACACATTAGATCACAAATGGCCAATTTGGGGTAGTTTAGCAGAGTGCATGGTTTTCCAGAAACATTAGGAAAAGCTTTTAGTAGAGTATAATTCTCTGTTCTTTTGATGTGCCTCTATCTGATGCATGTTCAGGCATTTCCGATATGAAGTTCCCTGTAATGGATCTGTAAAAGTGATGATGCATTTGATAATACATCTTTGAATCTGTATAGTCTCTACGTGGTGCCCGGTTACCTTACTTTTTAAGGACACTTTTAAAGGGTGTCATGCTACCTGACAAGGTGTATGAAGTCACCCTGCTTTGGTGTGTCCTATTGGAATGTGCAGTATATACAGTCTGGAATGCCCCTGTGGATCTTTCATCTAGAAGAGCCATTCCATCAAACTAACCGCTCTGAGGTGGCTCCTAAAATTGTGATGAAGGTGAACTTATTTCCTCACCTTTTTGGGCAGTAGGGAGGAAAGAGGGGAGGTGTGCTGCCCCAGTGGCAGACTGTTAAGGTGCTGCTTTTAATAAATAATAAACCTCTCTCTCGTCACACACAGGAAAGGACACAGATAAAGGTTTTGGAGTGTCTGAGAAATCAGAGTAGTATGAGGTGGATGATATCCTAGCAGAAGGAACTGGAGAGAGATGAGAGCACAAGGGGAAAGCAAATAGCATAAATGAGGAATTGCTTCCTTGCCTTGCTAAACTGGGATTCAAACTACCAACACTGATTACCCAATCCACTTCCCTGGCATATCAACAAGAGCACACTAGTATCAGAGGAAAGGCAGGGAAAGGACACTTTGTTTTTTAAATTAGAACTGGTCAAAAAATGCCTACTGCCTTACATCATAGGGAAACTGAAATGTGTTTTCCCCCTAAAACCTCAATAAAATTTGATCATAAATAAAACTGAAACTTAAAAATCAAAACAAAGAAAACTTTCTTTAAACAATATTTTTACCAGAAACTAAAAAATTAATTACAATTTGTTTTTGTTTTTTTCAAACAAAAAGCCAGAAGACTTTAACCAAAATTTTTGGTTGTGGTTTAAAAAAAAAAATAGATAAAAGTTTGACCCAGCTCTACTTGTAACCTAGTTGTGGATCCAGAGGAATGACCATGACTACTAACTCCTTTAGTTCTTACAGAAAGGCTTAGTCTTTGCATTTTCTCAGGCACAAAGGAAAAAATATATATTTTCAGTCTAGATTAACTTTATTTTGTCATATCTAAATTAAAACTCATGATTGGGACCCTCCTTCAGGACTATGTCATGGTACCATCTGGGGGAGGGGACCCTAATTATTAGAATGAGACAGGTAATAGTAATGGAGGATTCGAATATTAGAAATATAGATAGTTGGGTCTGTGATGATGGTGAATTGCCTACTGGTAGCAAAGGTTGTGGACCTCATGAGACAACTAGAAAGACTTACATGCAGTCCTGGGATGGAGCTGGTGGTCGTGGTACGTATAGGTAACCATGACTTAGTGAAAGGAAGGAGATCCTGGAAGCCAAATTTAGGCTGCTGGGTAAGATTAAAATCCGGGACCTCTATGGTAGCATTCTTGTGGCTACTTAGGCAGAAGTGCAGGGTCTCAATGCATGGATGAGATGATGCTGTTGGGAAGAGGGATTTAGGTTTATTTAGGAACAAGGAAACCTTTTGGGAAAGGAGGAGCTTACACAGGAAGGATGGGCTTCACCTGAAGCAAAATGGAACCAAATTGCTGGTGTGTAATATTACAAAGGTCATAGTTTAAGAACTCCTCTAAGAATTGGGGGAAAGCCAACAGATGTGGAGGAGCACATAATTTGGACAAGCACATCCTTCAGGGGAGGATTTGTTAAAGGGGATTCTCTATACCTTAGTAAAGAGGAGAGGACAAATGTTGATAAAGGACAGGTTGGAACTGAAGAGAAACAATTAAATGAAAAAGAGCCCCATTCAATTTTATCACATAATGGCAGACAACTAAATATTGACAAATTTTGTAAGTGCTTGTATACAAATGCTAGATGTCCAAATACTAAGCTGGGTGAACTTGAGTATTGAATGAAGAGGTTGATATAATAAGAAACTTGATGAAACAATGACAATCAATGTGACACAATAATACCAGGGTTCAAAATATATAGGAATGGCAGAGTAGGTTTGCTGGTGGGGGAATGGCACTATATGTGAAAGACAGCAAAGGGTAAAATATAGTAAAAAATCTTAAATGAATCAAACTATACCATAGAGTTTCCGTGGATACATATTTCCTGCTTGAATACTAAGTATAACAGCAGAAATATACTACCGACCACCTGACTGGGACGGTGATGGTGATTATGAAATGCTCAGGGAGATTAAAGAGGCTACAAAAACAGAAAACCCAACAATAATGGGGAATTTCAGCTATCCCCACCCTGACTAGGTATGTTACCTCAGGATGGGATACAGCGATAAAAAAAAATGTCTAGACACCATTAATAACTGCTTCTTGGAGTAGCTTGTCCTGGAACCCACATGGGGAGAGGCAATTCTTGCTTTAGTACCTCTTAAGCCTGCTAAACAATCAGTGGGGCCACTGGATGATCAAGGTACAAAAGGAGCACTCAAGGAAGATAAGGCCATTGCAGAGAAGCTAAATGAATTCTTTGCGTGTGTCTTAACTGCAGAGGATTTGAGGGAGATTCCTACACATGAGCCATTCCTTTGGTGACGAATCTGAGGAACTGTCCCATATTGAGGTGTCAGTGGAGGAGGTTTTAGAACAAATGGATAAACTGGACAGAAATAAGTCACCAGGACCAGATAGTATGCATCCAAGAGTTCTCAAGGAACTCAAATATGAAATTGCAGAACTACTAACTGTGGCATTTAACCTATTGCTTAAATCAGTCTTTGTTCAAGATGACTAACAGATAGCTAATGTGACACCAATTTTTTAAAAAGGCTCCAAGGCGACCCTGGCAATTACAGGCTGGTAAACATAACTTCAGTACCAGGCAAATTAGTTGAAATGATAGTAAAGAACAGACTTATCAGACACATAGGTGAACTCAATATGTTGGGGAAGAGTCAACATGACTTTTGTAAAGGGAAGTCATGCCTCACCAGTCAGAATTATTTGAGGGGGGGGTCAACAAGCAGGTGGGTGTGATCCAATGGATATAGTGTACTTGGACTTTTAAAAAGCCCTTGACCAGGAAAATCACTCCCTCTGAAGCATCTGCCATTGGCCACTGTTGGAAGACAGGATACTAGACTAGATGAACCATTGGTCTGACCCAATATGGCCATTCTTATGAAGGACAAATATAAAATCTTCATGAATCGTGGGTTCATATATTTTAATGCCGCAAGGGACCATTAGATGATCTGATCTAACCTTCTGTATATCACAGGCCATTACATTTCACCTGGTTACTCCAGTATTTAACCCAATAACCTCTCTGACAAAAGCATATTTTCCAGTCCTGATCTGAAGACCTCAGGAAATAGAAAATCCACCACTTGTGATAGTTTGTTCCAGTGGTTAACCATCACTTTTTTTTAAGTGTCTTATTTCTGCTTTGAATTTCTCTGGCTTCAGCTTCCAGCCATTAGTTCTTGTTCTGCCTTTCTCCACTAGATTAGAGCCCTTTAGTACCTGGTATTTTTTTTCCTGTGAAGATATTTATATTCAGTAATTGTCACCTCTCAATCTTTTTTTGATAAACTAAACAGCTGGAGCTCTTTAAGTCTCTCCCTATAAAGCATTTTCTTTAGTGCTTGAATAATTTCAGTGGCTCTTTCTGCACCCTCTCCAGTTTTTCCACATCCTCTTTAAAATGTGGACCCCAGACTGTATGCAATATTCCATGGTGAGTCTCACCAATGATGTATACAGAGGTACAGGCACACAGAGAGTCAATGAGTGTCTTTTTTTCTACTGTGTACAAGCCCTGCCCATGTAGCACACAGCTAGCCTATTAGGCTTACATTTAAAGGTAAATGGAATTCAGTGGGCCCAACTACTTGAGCAAGGACTATCTGTGTAAGGGTTCTGGGCTCAGCTACTCCATAGCAGACCATGTATAAAAAGTATATAGAACCATAGTTCAGGTGCAGGAAAGCAAGGTCAGATTCTCAGAGGAAGGAAGGCCTTGTAATTAAGGTACTGGCCTGACACTCAGAAGGTCTTGGTTCAATACCTGGCTCTGCTGCATGTGTCCTATGTAACCTTGCGCAAAGTCTTAGTGCCTCAGGTCCTCATCTGGACAAAGGGAATAATTATTTTTCTGACACCGTTTGACTTGTCTGTTTAGATGGCATGGGACTATCTTTTGCGGGTGTTGCACAGCGCCTAGCACGATGAGACCCCATCTTCATTGGGGCTTCTAGGCATGACTGTAATACCAACAATCAGTAATAGGAAGGCTTCCTGAAAGAACTGAGTTTTGAGGGAGAATTTGAAGGAGAAAAGAGTTTTATTAGTGGCTGTACAAGACAAAGGAGGTATTTCAGATGTCAGGATTGAGTTCCAGTAGTTCCTGTATTTTTTTTTTTTCATAGAAGGCACTCTGGCCAAAAATAAACCATGCATATAAAATCAATTATAATGGTTTATATTCCTTATCAGAACACTTTTCATATCTTTAAAAATCTTAGTCCTTGGTATTGTTGGACTAACTTTTGGGAAGCTTGAAATGAAATCGGTTTGTCTGGATTTGTTTTTTTCTCCTGGCTGTTTGTGTTCATCCTAGGGCTGCTTATGAGTACTGGCCTGCTGACTTTGATTTTTTTTTATTCCTTTGTTTTATTTTTAATTAAGAGAATTCAAGCATCTGTTTGGAGGGGAAAACTGGAGAATTACACACATTGGCTAATGTAAATGAGGAAAAGGTAGGTCAAATTTAGAATATAGCAACCTTGATTGTGAACCTTTAAGTGATGGCTAAGTTCTACATTCTGCCCAAGATACAGTTGCTCAAAAGTATTTGATGGTATTGCCACTATGTTTCTAAGAATGTTTGACTCATTGATCATCAGTGCTATCCTGCTCTAACAAGGATCAATTCTTCCCTGCAACAGGTGTGAGTAACTAACATACACTAAAAGGAGGAAGAGGGGGAGAGAGAGAGAGAATGACTCCATCCTTATCTAAGCCTTCAACTGCATATCAAACAAGAGCTCCTCTTTTTGTGGGCTGCTTCTCTTTCCTTTTACAATGGGGTGTGGTGTCAGATCAGAGAGCGTGTTTATATTACTTTGGAGTGGAAAAGAATAAAGGCAGTTTCTGTGGGGGTACTTGAAAAGGGCTGCATTGATTTTTTTTCTTTTTTTTCTTTATCAGAGCTGCTGGAAACCTCCTTCCCTTCCCAACGCTCACCTCTTCCTGCCTTTGTCGGGGAAGTGTTAGATCTGACACCTTTCCAGTAAGGTACAGAAATGCAAATTTAGAAATCCAGCCACACATAATCAGAGGATGTAAACTTTCTGTGAACCTAATTTGTGGATTTAAAAAAATCCCCTACTTTAGCACATTTCTAAAATGCTTTTGACACTTTTTGGGGCTAATTATATTGCTTGGGCCCAGCTGATTTTTCTTAGAACTAATACACTGTTGAGAATTAAAAACAGAAAAGTAGATTTCCCTCCCTCCAGGAAGGGTACACCCACTTGGTTTCTGTTGCTGTTATATATACACCCAGGCCTTCTGGTTTTATTAAAAGAGCGGACAGACGCCCTTAGTTAACATGCTTAAAACTAAAACCTCCTCCCCTTCCTGCTGTTTGTGCATTTTGTTTTGGACACAGTTTCTCCACTAACACAATCTAAGCAGCACACTGGGGACTTGCATGGCTACACAGCTAGTATGTCATTCCCTTGTTGCTGCTAAAAACAAATATGCAGCAACAATCACTAGTGTATTGAGTTACATATGACATGACATTTACAAAAAGCCATCAATCCACTGCTGTAACATTCTGGAGTGGGCTAAATACGCACCAGGCAGTGCTTTCTCCCTTCAGCTGTAGCACAATGCAGAACATGCAAAAGGTAGGGCATGTGGGTGTGAGAGAAATAGAGTGGGTATATATAGTTAGGGAATCTCAGTATTTACCATCTAGCTTCCCTTCTCCAAGGCTTTTTGCCCTCAATCTACAGTGTCATTTACAAAATCCACTGCTGAACTGAAGCTGGCATTTTTGATGTTGACTGTTGGAAGTGGAAGTGTCAGGATTTTCACTTTGCTTTCACAGGGGCATCAGAAGAGCCCTAACCAAGAGTCTTTCATCTCATGGAAATGAAACCAAGCTGAGCTGCCCCTGCACTTCCCCTGCTGCCTGGGAATCTCTCCACAAGCTGTACACTTGGAGGAGCTTGACAACAACCATTGCCAGAGCAGCTTGTTGGATGCATGTGACTGATGGTGAAAATGGTCTGAGGCAGCTGAACGCACAGGACTTCACCACAAGTGTCTCCTGATGGGTTGTGAGTTCAATCCTTGAGGGGGCCATTTAGGGATCTGGGCCAAAACTTGGGGATTGGTCCTGCTTTGAGCAGGGGGTTAGACTAGAGGACCTCCTGAGGTCCCTTCCAACCCTGATATTCTAGGATTCTATGACTTAAATCTAAGCTCTGGCAAGTACATGCAAGCTTAGCTCAATTAGGTCTTATGCTTGGTTTAAGGTGTAGGGGGCGCTATGTACACCACTTCACTACTTTTAGAGCAGTTAGGTTTCTGTCTTCCCTTTCCTACCCATGAGGAGAAAGATTAGGGCAGGTCTCCCTTTGTCCCCTGCTGGCTGGTGATTCCTGGCCTAGGGCTTTAAAATGCTGAACATTTTTGTTGGTGATGGAAACAGCCTGTGGTTTTACCTTGCCCTTGAGAGAATCTTATAAGTAAACTGTTTGCTAGAGGGTAAAAGTAAGGCCAAATGTTTTTAATGTTGCAGGATAATACACATTTATCTTTGAAAAGTATCACTATAGAGCATTAGTATCAGTACTGGTGAGGAGAGGCGGAGAATAAAATTTTCAAAATGAATGTATTATTGGAGGGCAATGGCTTTTTTTTGTTGTTGTTGCAAATCTGGGATTGCATTCTCTGTGAAATGACAGTTTCCAGGAGATGTCATTTTGTGCTTTGGGTGTTACTTTTAGTCGAACTGTCCATGCCATTGCTTCCATTTACACATCAAAACACAAACCTCCCTCCCTAAAGCAGAAAGGTCTTTACAGGCAGTGCTCTCACCTCTCTTTGAGGAGCATTGCCCTTCTTGCTAGTTCAAAGGCAGGCGAGAATTTTAGCACAACTGGGGAAAACAAACAACTCTGTACCAGCTGTGAATGAAAAACACCCACATCAGATAATTTAAAGAAAGTTACAAAGCAGAGGTCTACCAATAATTTAGGTATCTGATTTTATTGTTCCATAGGGTCATTAACAAAGGAAAGTTACATGTCTTAGTCCCCATGTACTTATTTTGCTTCCTCTCCTAGCTGGTTCTATGCTCAAATACCTTCATGTACTAAGGAAGCAACTTCACAATACTTTTCCTGTTACAATGACAGCTCTGTGAAAGGTAATATCACAGCATAAATAGCCTATATCTTCCAAAAATAGGAACATTGAGGTGTATCACCTTGTATACAGGAATGTTGATGCTCCAGCGGTCACTGGAAATATTTCCTTTTTGAAGAAAATTTTCAAATCTATTTCACAAACTTCTTTTCAACACCTGTCATTCCTCAGCAGAAAAAATGTACAGGTAAAGTTAAGCCACAAGTAAAGCATCTGCCTAGTACTTAAATTATAACTACAGCTTTACAAAAAGAGACTTACTTGGGGAAATCAAGTTAAGAGTAGTTTCTTTAGAATGGCATTCATGTAACCATGCCCAGGAATTTTAGTGTTCTAAAGTCAACCTACAACACAACTACATTGCTCCCTTCAATATCTTAAGCATCTTTCAGTATTAAACAAAAGAAACATTCAAATTCCAATACTTGAGCTAACAATGCTTAGTACAAGAATTAAGTGCTAAATTACCAGCATTGTGTCCAAAACAGTTACAAATTTGTTAATAGCAAACAATATGGAACTGGATTTTTAATGTTAAAGTGGTTAGAAGTGTATCACACTCCAAAATACATGCAATCATTTGTGAATTCAATATTTTTTATTAAAAAGATTAAAAATAAAACATTTGACACCCTAATATACATAACGTCACAATAAACTCAGATGTGCTAAAAGCAAAATGTGCAGAAAACACTCATTTCTAAAAGGCACCCTGCCACCAATATTTTAAATGTTTGTCTAATTCCAACTGATCTCTAGTTTACTCTTCCTTCACTGAAGGCAAGATTCTAGACCACTAAATAATAAAGATACTAACCACACCAATCCCTTTCAGGGATCTTTACTATCACTATAACACTTAAAATTGTGCATGCACATTTAAGTCATATACCTCTCATTGAGTTAACCACCAAGATATAAAATGCACAAGGGCTTTTTCTTAATAGAAAAGGAGTGATATTTGGGCCATTTATAAGGGCCAAGAGAAAGACAAGGCTGTGAAATACTGCTGTGCATCCACCAAAGAGCTTTGCTACAAAAAATCCCCTTTCCTCCCTCCCCACCCTCACACCCCAAACTCTCCTAAACAAACCAAGAGTTACAAAACATCTCACACACAAATAGATGAAATGTTAACACATTTAACAATTAACCTGTCAGGGTCTGACAGTGTAAGAGTGCCATCTATGCAGTCCTGAAATACAGTAACGTTAGACACAAATGCACCATCTGAAAGCCCCACTGTCCATTCCAATGGCTGTAAGGAGAACACAGTGCTCACGTATTCTCCCATTATTAGGTAGATCTTTGTTGATTCCTGTGCAGTTTCTTTATTTACCAAGGTCTCCACATAGATTTGGAAAAGCTAGGTGAAGGCACATTGTGTGTCCTGGAACTGTCCAGTCCAGCTGGGGAGGCCGGGCTTTGCTCAGCCTCTGTCTCTTCCAGATCAGAGCAGGTCTCTTCACTGGAGGAAGGGGATAGAAGAGCTGAAGTAGGGCTGGCTAAGCTCAGAGCAGCAGGGGACACCCCCGCTGGTTGGGAGAGCCCCTCACTGCCAGGCCACGAGGTGATGGAGGGTTCTGACAAAACATCCGCGATCAAGTCCTGGAAACTGCCTTCGTTGAGAGGCATGGACTCCAGCAGGTGGTTCAGCAGCTCGGCAGCAACAGTGGAATCAATCCCCGGGCAGTTGGAGACGAAGGTATGGACTTCGTGCATGCACTGAATGTACCCAGCTGCAAACCGCTCGCTGGCCTCCCGGTGCAGCTTGTCACTTTCTGCAACAGCAGCACCCATAAGGAAACACACACAGCTGGAGTCAAAGGGGGGAGCCCCTTCCCTCCCCCCAACATCCCAAAGCGGTCTGGGCCCACCCACCCCCATTCTCTGGCTATGCCAACCTCTCCCCCTTCACAGCACGGCTGGCACGTCACTTCTCGGGATACTGCCGCCCCATCGTTAGAGGGCTGCTACTTCCCCTCTCCCCCCAGCATCTCCCGTGCCCGAGGGGGACTCACCGAGGGACCGGCTCTGCAGCACGCCCTGCACCCGCTTCACGGTCAGCTCCAGCACCTCGGCGTTCTCCATCTTCGCCTGAAACTGCCCGCGAGCCGCGGCGAGAGAGGACAGCGATCAGCCCCGCGCCAGGGCCCCCCAGCGCCAGGGCCCCCCAGCGCCCCCACCCCCGCTCCCATGCCCCTGCCGCAGCCTTACCTCCGTGTCGGCCAGGATGAGCCGCAGTTCCTGCAGGCTCTCGTTAATCCGCGCTCGCCGCTTCTTCTCCACCAGCGGCTTCCTGGCCTGGGGAAGGAGAAGGGGAAACACACATTGCACCGACCGCTGCATGCCCCGTGCAGGCCAGGCCGCGGCTCCATTGCACCGACCGCCGGGGGCGGGAAAGGGGATCCTGCAACCCCTGCCCCCCCTCCTTCCGGGGGTCCTGCCTGGGGCCCCTCCGCGCCCGGCTCACCTTCCTGTCCCCCCCTCTCGCGTCACAGAAATCCTCCTCCTCCCGGCTGGGCCGGCTCTTGCTGGGCCGAGAGGACGGGGCCATGGCAGAGCGCGGCGCAGACACCACGGGCTGGGGGAGGGGCGCAGGAGGCGGTGGAGGCAGCAGCTGGCAAGCGGATCACAGGGGCGGCCTTCTGCACCAGCCGGCTCGCGAGCGTCCCCACTGCCCTCTCCCCCGCCCCCTCCGGCGCCACCACTCCCCGGCCTTACTTATAGCCTCTGATTTGCATGTCAATGAGCCCATTGGTCACGCCGAGCCGGGAGAAGCCGCAGCGTTGGGCGAACTGACCAATGAGAGACGGGCGCTTTGTCTATCTAGGGGCGCTCTAAGCCTCCACCAGTGCAGCGGGAGGGGGGCGAGAGGGCTGGGGTAGGGCACGATGCTCCAGGCTGGATGGTGTTGGTTGGGGTCCTTCCCTGCCTGTTTTTTTTTGTCTCGTGTGTACTGGGACTCACTCAGCCGTGTTTGTCTCGGTGTATTGGGAACACACAGAATCCAGCTGTACCCAGGATGGGGTTCAATCTCAACTCTAGCGGAGTGGTGTTGGGCTGTAATCCGTGCCCAGGTTCCAAGGGAGGCTGAGACATGTGGTAAGAGATGAGAACACTGGCACCAATTCACATGTTTCGGGGGGGGGCAATTTTCAGTTCCCACCCCCCATCTACATGGACCTTGGGTCTCCCTGGGCCTTTCTTACCTGAACAGTGCATGATCTGGTGCTGCCAGGAGTCAAGTTCTTAGTAACAACAAGGAGTCCGGTGGCAACTTAAAGACTTACATATTTATTTGGGCATAAGCTTTCGTGAGTAAAAAACCTCACTTCTTCAGATGCATGGAGAAGTTCTTAGTAGACTCCCCTGTGCTCCACAGAAACAGACTCCCCATGCTCCAGGTTGCAACACCCTTTGGCCCCAATGCCTGTCTGTCTGGACAGAGCAGAGGGTGACTGGGCCACATTTGAGTGGTGATGTGCCCTCGTGCCCCAGGTTGCAATGCTACTCGCTGACATTTGCCCCACCCACCTTTCCATCTGGACAGAAAGGTGACCCAGTCAACTCAATGACATTGGCACCATGCAACTCCAGCAATGCTCCAGACCAGTCCAGTAGCAGCTGTACTGATTTAGTATAGGACCACTGTTTTAAAATGGTTGGGCCGTGGGGGTGCCTTCCTGGGTCTGCAGTCTATAGAACTTTGAGCAAGTGCAAAAATGTGTGGGGGGGGAGGGGTGCGGAGGGGCATTACTTCCCCATCTCCAGTAATTGGCACCATTCAATGGGAAATGTAGAAAGTAGGACAGAGAAAAGTTTATGTGCACCACTTTCCAATGTATACCTTTTGGACAGTGTAGCGTCTATGATATACGTTACACTCACTGCTTCACATATGTAGGGCTAATACCTAATAATCTAGTCTAAATAAAAGTAAAACATGTTTTGTTGTTGTTTTGTTTTTGTTTCTTTGGAGGACTAACTTCTGTCTTGAGGTATTTGTATGTAATGCCCAAATAAGTCAGTCTAAGGGCATAATTCAAGCCTTCCTATTTAAATAGGAGAAGTTGAATAACTTCACAAGAGGAAAGATGAGATTTCAAAGGACCACCTTATTACATTTCTTTCCTTTGAGGTATCTCTGGAGAAGGGGCAGCCTGCATGAGTTATGGAGGAGACAAAGTAAATAGCAAGGAAAACTTTTTTTTTTCTATATAGTGTCAAATATGCACAAGTTAAAGCCATGCATTCAGCAAATTCTGAGGAACATGGAAATATGTTCTGAAATTCTAGTTTCCTCTTCATTTTGGGAAAATTAAGAAAGTAATACAAAAAATTCTCTAAATCTTTGATTCTTTTATCTGTTTATTGGGGAAACAAGGAGTGGTCAATAAAATACCACAGTACAATCCCTGTGAAAGACCAAAACGCAATTTATCATACTGTTACTGCAGATTATTGGTCTATTATTTATAAGGGTTTTTACTACCCTTGGCACTAACATAGAGTATCAGAGTCCGATAAAAGACTTTCCACTGTTATCAGCAAATCTTCCAGGATGTACCATGAACGTCTAACAGTTATCATTTTCTAGAATTCATGTTACATTCACAAAGGCATTCAGAGTTAAATTGCTCCCCTTTAAAACATCAATTTTCATAATCCTACAAACCAAAAAAAATAAAACCGGAGGAAATATCTTTCATTGTCTTTATCAGATACTATGAACCAATTTCCATTTATTTTATTGGTATGTGTACTTTACAGTCTATTATAAATCTTCCTCGCAATTGTTTCTTAACAGTATGCATGTTATTAAAGGCATAAGAAGAAGTAAGAGGTCTATTGTTACCAACAATGTGAGTATGAAGAAGGTAATTTATATGTAAGCAGGAAAGCAGATACAAATATTTGGAGCAAAAAGTCCTGGGTCCAGTCCTGAAGTCGTTACTTAGTCTAAACTCCCATTGAAGTCAAGGACTCAGGAGCAGGCCCTCATCATGATTTAATATTATGAGAGATTTGAATATTTGCATAAAATCATTCACTAATTTAAAATGTTGCTAGGCGATGTTGTTCTTTAAATACTTGAATTATTTAGCAATTAGTATGAACCAGTATGTGTGTGCTTCAAAAATCAGACTGATCATCAAGATAAAAGTTGAAACCCTATAAAGAATCACGATCCAATGTATTTGCAACATGATGAAAACTTCCTCCCTTCCTTGTTGGATTTTGTTGCCTCTTCTGTTCCTTAACCTAAAGAATGAAATAGTCTGGCTTTGTGAATGTAACTTGATGCTGATGACAGTTGGCAGCTGCAGTCCCCTCAACAGACTGAATCAAATAAAAGCATTAGGTCTTGTCCCCAAGGAGAGCGACAGGTGTTCGCTCTCCCTTCTTTGTTTCCTTCTTTTTTTCCTTGTTGGTAATGTATGTCATATTTTGACTAGCCAAGAAAATGAGATGCATCTTCTGTGTGTGTAATCAACATCATAGCCAGGAACAGATAGACAAATACATAGATGTATGCAAGTATATGTATCCGCCTGCCTCTGTGTACTTGTACTGCATAACTCTCTTCATTTCTGCTCTGGACTATTAGTGTTATCTTGCATTAACAACCCCCACAGTGCATTTTTAGTGTTTTCACGCTACTTTCATTGTTGAGTTCATGAATGCTACTAGCACATGCTATTTTTGTAAGCATGCCAATAGAGAAATGAGTGCTCATACAGTGCATGGCATATACACACCCTTTGAGAAAGGCATAGTTGTAGATAATGCCGTAAGTATTCACTAACACTTCTCACTTGCATCCCTGCTCACTTTTTCTTTGTGGCTGTATTTATTATAAGCACTCACTTGTTTCCTGCAGGGAGACATATGTTCATACTTGTGTGTGTTTGTGTATGCACATGGCTCTTCCTTGTATTGGTCATCATTCACAGTTTGGCACAGTTAACTTATCCCATATAGTCTATTGCATAACGACCTACTCATTGAAAAAGAACATGATAGCTCCTACGCAGTGTTGTTGTAGCCGTGTTGGTCCCAGAATATTACACAAGGTGAGTGAGGTAATATCTTTTATTGGACCAACGTATGTTGTGAGAGAGACAAACTTTCGTGCTTATATAGATCTGTTCCATCTTGTAAGTTTCACAGACCTGAAGAAGAGCTTGGTGTAATCTCCAAAGCTCATCTCTCTGACCAACAGAAGTTGGTCCAATAAAAGATATTACCTCACCCACCTTGTCTCAATGAATCTGACCAAGGGTGATCATAATTACATTTAATGACAATGATACTTAAAGACCACTTTTCATCTTCAAAATGCTTTACAAACATTAATGCTTACAATAGCCATATAACATAGAAATTATTCACATTTCACACATATGGAAATTGGGACCATAAGGTTAAGTAATCTGCTCATGGCCATAAGCAGAAGTCCGTATCAATTTAAGAGCTCCTGGTTCCAGATGTACAGTTAGGCCACTCTCTTTCTCAAATTGTGGTTCACAATAGATTTTTTTAAATGTGTGTATTTTCATGAGTATATTTATTTTTGTTCTACTTCTGCTCAACTCTCATCTTGCTCTACCAATGAAAATCAGGCTTTGCCAAAGTGCTCAGTGTTGGCCTAATTGACTCCAGGTGGAGCAAAATTAGGCCAATTCTGAGCACTTGGGAAAATCTCATCTGAATCATTTGAGAACCTGGGTGCACATCAAGCTAAATCAGTCCTTGCTGTAGTTCCACTCTACAGTGTGCATACATGCATTGAGTTCAAACAGGATTAATCTTATTTTGACACAATTAGTGTAGAGTATTTACAAATGTCATTTTGGGCCAGGACAGTCACAGTTTATGCTTATAAACACAGCTGACTGGCAATTTTGTAGCACTTCCCATTTTAGTCATATTTAGCATAATAGGAAAAAAGTAATCAGCAGGGAGGAATGGTACAAAATAACCATGGATACAAATTATGGTAAAGTAATTAATTACTACAATTTCCCTGGGTAGATTTTAATTTTGATACAGAGTGAGCAAGGTGTCGTAAGTAGAAGAAATGTATAAATCATATGGTTTAAAGCATTTGATTTGTAATAAATAAGGAATCAAAAGGACACTATAAGCAGGTTTTTCTTTCGACAACATTTAGCTTTTTTCAACATTTGTAATCTGCTATATTAAAATATTAAGTGATTGTTTCACCTATCACTTATTTCAGTGAAGTTATACCTGATTTACATCACTGTGAGAGCAGTCTCAGTCCCCAATTTTGTCAGTACAAATCATTTACGGTCTGTTTCTACTCTCACTTAAACTGGCATAATTCAGAAATGACTCCAGTAAAGTCAACGGAGCTACACTGACATAAAACCAGCATGAGACCAAAATCAGGCCCTTAGTACTGATCTATGAAACTAATCTGAAAAATTCCTAGCTAATGGGACGCTGCATGTCTGAAGGATCACCAAAGAAACCCCTGAATTCTACTCTTGATTCTGACACAGACTTCTGCTTCTGCCTTTGGCAAGCCACTTTACCTCTCAGTTTTGCCTTCTGTGAAATGGGGATGGGATAGCACTAACCTTACTAGTAGGGCTGCTGTGATACTCAACTAATTTGGAAATGACTTTTATAATTAAAAACACTGAAAAAGTGCTGAGTATAATTTCTCATTCATCTCACTTCTGCACA